TAAGTTAATATATAATAAAATTTTAACTGATTAAAGTTTATATACTATATATTATAATAAAGTAAAAATCTTAATTTTTTTTGAAAAGTTTCAGAACTCTATTTTCTTAGATCACAACCCATATAGTGAAATTATTAAGTAAATTTAATTCTTTTAATCTTAAAAATTGTATTTGATTTTCTTTAGTTTTAATAGCTTATAATTGATATTTTCAGTATATAAGAAAACTTTAAGCTAAATTATAAGTAAATTATAAGTATTTAAAAATGTTCAAGTTTTATAAGAAAAAGTTTTTTAAGTAAAATTATTAAAAATATTTCTATATTAATATTGGATGCTTTGCATTAGCAAGGGAAAAAACTACCAAACAAACATTTTTTTTTGAGTTAATGATATACTTTGCTTTAAAAATCATATTTAATATATAAAGTAAAATTGTTTTTTTTTTTTTTGTAATTTTCACCTTTCTACTGCAAAACGCCCATATACATAAGTAATAAAGAATATAATTTTTAAATTTTACGTTATTTTTGAAGTACAATGAATAAAATTCTTTTATTATGCATATATATTACATTTCTTTATTTTAGTCCGATATCAATTTCATTCGATGCTATGGTAATGTAATATTATTTAATGAAGATAGATGTTACACGAAAATATGACGATACGTAATTAAAATGTTAAAGATTTATCTTTATTATAAACTCTAAATTTAAGCTAGCTATATTATTATATTTGTTACTTATAATAATATATTAAAAAAAACGATAATTTTACAAGAAGTTCATATAAAAGAATACAACTAATTCCATTAAAATTCCATAGGATTTACTAAAATCATTTATAATTCGATGTCCATTTGATTTAGCGCTTGATTTGCCACATTTTGCGTCAAATTCATCTTGAGATTTGGTTTCATTAGCAAGGGCTTTTTGTAAATTTGGAGTATTAAGAGGATGTGATGCTTGAAATTCTTTGAATTTATTGCGAGATTGTCGGGTACAATCATCACATATAATATCAACAAAAGGATCAATATCTGGGCCTTGGCCTTGGGGTTTGGTTTGTGATGTATTTGCTGCTTTCAAAAATTTGCTGAAACAATATTCTAAATATTTTGAAGAGAAATAAATATCGTAAAAAATAAAAATAAAAAGATCAAACTTAATAATAATAACTTACCATCCCCACTTTTAGTACAGAAATAAGTTCTCAAAGGTATAGAAGTATAGAATGTAATCAAAGCCCCGAAAGCTTTTGTTCCAATCGGATCAGGTGTCCCGTTGAAGTTTTTATTTAATTCTGCATCACAAGTTTTATCGATTTCAGTATAAACACTTTGAACATAATCTTCGCTACAAGCATTATTTGCGGTATCAGCACAAGTTTTGTCTAAAGCGTTATTTACGTTTACAGGATCCATTATATTATCTGGCGTTGAAGCAGCATTTCCTTCCATTAAATGATATTGAAAAATTGAAAAGACTAAGCATTTGTCGGATGGTGGCTGTTTATTTATGAGGGAAGCTATATCTAAAGATGGATATTTATGAAGGGTTTGTTGACATGGTGTACATGTAGTTCCTTGTAGATTAAATTCCTGCTCGCAGGTAACCTTATCCTGAGCATAGGCGAGAAGTATTGTGTTAAATAACGCGAAAAGAAGAATGAAATATTTCATCATTTTATTATTAACGAGTTTTATAAGTCTCAAACTCAAGAAAATGGAAGCGCATTTATATTTATTTTTATTATAGCAAATGTATCACAAAAATAATGTACAAATTATACAAATGAAAGCGCAAAGAATCCATTGACGGCTTTGATCCAGAATATAAGTTCAATTACATATCGCTTCATGCATAGAGAGCGTTTATAAGAGATTATCATACGATTTGATCTCTATTTTTGAATGTATTGATTTTAAATTACTAAAAGTGTCGTATTTTTTATACTTATTGGGAAATTCAATCTAATAAATCTAATAATCCTTTAATTCCTTTAGCAACACATTTTTATTTTCTTTTCTCTTTTGGGTCAATTCGTGATACGACTTTATCATTGTATAAGGAAAGTTAAACGCCAACCGGAATTAACTCGGGATGACTTTTTTTTTAAAAAAAGAAAATTCGCATATTCAAATATCTAAAAACCGGAAGATGTATGTATCTCCAATTCCAACGATGGAAAGGTCTAGATGTTCTTTTATTCTATTTCCGGCTAGTCAAACATTTAATGGATTTTGTTAACCATATGTAGTTATCAATTCATTAGATTAAAAATTTTTTTGTCATAAAGAATACACTTCTCTTGTTGCTCCAATTTAAAATTGGGACACTTTGGAAATTGAGACATGCGAATCCCCATTTAAAATTAGGGTAATAGACAACTTGAGGTATGACTATTCAAAGATCAAAGCCACAATTGATCATGTGATTTTATTATAGAGATACCCCAGTTTGAAATTTCAAGTTGGACTGAAATTTTCATATGGATTTGCCTCAATTTAAAGTTCAGATCGCAACACTTTTAATCTTTAAATACTTCCGAAATTTTAGAGCTATCATCTATAAACGACGGGCATCCTTAACCTACACCGGAGGTGTAGATGTTTAACCTGCGCTGGGGGTGTACAATAAGTTTTAACGAATTTTA